CTATGATTGTTGATGGCTTTCAGTGTAGCCAGTTGTGGGGCGAGTGTTGAGGTGATATAGATTTGGTCAAATGGTCTACGGTCCACGGCCCACAAAGCAACAATTCCAACTCACATAGTGGGTTTGTTTGCCTGCACTGAGCCCACATTTTGAGAGCTCACTCCTGTTCCCAGTGCCAGCGGCTGTAGTGTTGCTGTAGTTTCGATCAGTACTGATCACCGACGTTGGGAAAAGGCTGCACGTCACGTCGTTTACCAAACATGGCCAGGTGGCAAGAAGATAGAGATAGGTGCTTCATGTCTGGAGGCGAAGGTCAGGTGTTTGGAAGGCCTTGCCATCACACCAGTCGCGTGCGGTAGTGTTGACCGTCGACGATTCTGAATTCTGAACTGCTTTTGCGGTGACTTGTGGGAGGCGCTGGGCGCGCTGCCGCCTTTCGGACTAGGCGCAGGGTATCCGATCCACTTTTGGCGCTCGACCCATGGCGTGTGGAAACATAACTAGTTGAGGCTTTCGAGTGAGCTTCTTCTTTGAGCATCTATGGGTCAGTGAACCCCATGTTTGGGTCTTTGACGCTGTTGTTTCCATGTGAAGTGCATCATGTGAAGTGCATTCCCTGGATTGTTAACTTTCCACGGCAGGTCGACGATCTTTGTCTTCTCCGTGGAGCTTGCTTTCGAGCTTTTCCACAGTGTGAGGCCGCGGACCTACAGTAAGAAATCCAATTTGTTAGCGAAGACACTCCACTGAAGCCAAAACGCCCCCCAAAAAATAGGGACAACAATGATGCAGTTGGCCCTAATTTCCTGGCCTTGTTTTTGCCTTGAAAGCAGTCCCACCGCACAAACAAAACCGCATATATAGTAATAATAATATGTTCTCCATTGTCTATGTATATACATTCTCTTAATGGTACACGTGATACGTATATGTATATGCTCCTAAGGTGACTCCATGGGTACACATGACCAGCGTCAACAGGGACGCCTTGAGAGGTTGGTAGGCCTCCACCTCTTCCACCTCAGCGTTGGTTTGCAAAGACCAATAACATCTACGCAAGTTCGATGAGATTTCCATGAGCTCAGTGGTCTTGAAATTGACCGTCGCGGTCCGCGGTGACTTAAAGAAACAATCCCCCCATGCTATGTAGTAGATGCCATCTGCCTCAAACTCAGGATTTTGCCAGCTAAGGGAGCCAGCCAGGAACAAGTGCAGGCCCAGAACACCTGACACGTCTTTTGTGTCTTTGATGGAACAAAACCTGGAAGGTTTGTTGGATGAATCAGGGGGCGCTGATACTCTCTATGGCATTGATTTAGCAATTTACCCACCAACCACTCCAACTACAAGTCGCTTTCCTAACTATGGACCTACTACTCTGCATGGGAATAGCATGGACCTTGATAGAGCTACCAACCTCTCCAACCTATCAGATTTAATGTTGGTAGATTCAGAGCCGCGTGCGTGAGGCGTGTGAGGGACGTGGCCTTCCTTCTTCGCGGCATCCCTTGTCGTTGGCGTGGGCCTTGAAGTTCCAAGGCTTGTGCTTGCTAGCTGCTCTTAGACAGGTTCTTTAGCAAGGGGAGCAATATCTAAGTGACTTATCCCTTTCATGGCATGGGTGGATGGCATCATACACTTGATGCTAATACTTATAACGTTTGCAGATGCCAAGCACCGGACTACTGAGCCTTTCCTTATCAGAACTATTCTACTAATTGAGTTGACCACAAACCCTCTGCTAGCTTCAAGCGATCTTCTAGTTGCAGGCCTGTGTTTCGGTTTATCTGATATTGTTGTGTAGAGGTTTGGGCAGGCTAGGGTGCACACACATCACCGCAACTCCCAAGTCATATTTTGGCGTTGGTGCCCTTTGTTTTGCACCATACCCCATGAACCAGGTTTTAGGAGGGGCAGAGGTCTGTTCCTGTAGAGTCGGCAGAACGTAGCTATTTTGGCTCAAGAGATCAGGTGATCATGGAAGGCTCCCTCCCAACCATTTGAAGGCATGGCTTGATGACTGGGGCCCACCTTTGAAGCACCAAGTCTCGAAGGCAGTCGGTCAGGCATGGCAGGAAACAATGCAGGAGAGTTTCCATGCGCGTGGCCTACCCAGCCCCTTGCTGGTAGGCACAGACTGCTCAGGGCTAGAAGCTCCAATTCATGCTTTGCGTGGGTTGAAGCTCTTACATCGGCATTGCTGGTCCAGCGAGTGTGAAGACAAGGTTCGGAAGTTGCTTATGGCAAACACACCCCCGGCTGGACAGGTTTTCCTTGATGTGTTGGACCAGTGCCCGGCATCACCTGCATGGTCCAAGGTCCAAGGTCCACGGCTCAACTACCTGCACGGCGAATCCAAGCCACCGCCTCCTGAGTATGTGCACCTTTACATCAGTGGGTTCAGCTGCAAACCTTTCAGCACACTCCACCACAACAGCCAACTTCTAGATGAGCCAGAAGCACGGATCTTTTGGGCAGTTGTGAATCGCATTCGGTGCATCAAGCCACCTGCTTTCTTGCTGGAAAATGTGCAGGGCATCACCCGCTGCCTCCCTGAAGTGCTTGCAGCGATGGAGAGCAATGGGCTGTACCTTGTCTCAAGCTTGCACATGGATCCCAGCCAGCTGGGCGAGCCTGTTCAGAGGCCCCGAATCTATTTCTTCGGACGTTGCACGGGGCACCCAAGCGGAACTCCAGCAAGTTCTCCGTCGAACTTGGGGCATTGTGACAAATCCAGGAGTCCATGCCACGGTGCCCTTGATGAAGAGATTGCTTCCAAGAGACCACCCTGCTGTTCTTGAACACCAGCATTTCCGCAGAGAGAGGTGGCTGCAGGTGTGGATGTTTTAAAATGTTTTTGACTTTTGAAGTTGAGCTTAGAGGTTCAAACTGTATGTACTTGCAAGCCCCTGTGGCCCCCTCCCAGGCCTTTGCCAAGGGTTTTCCCGACAAGAAGAGCTCCACGAAATGGCGTGACTTGCATGCAAAGACTCGGCCTGCGCTGTCTGGAGTTGCGGAGGCATGCTCTGCTGATGTGATGCTGCTGCACCTCCCAAGGGAAAGAGACGCCTGGTCCATCTTGCAGAACCAGCACCCAGGTGCCAAGAGTATGGTTGCTGACTTATCGCAATCCATCACCCGGACAGGAGTTCGGGTGGATGGCCGCTTGCCTTGTATCACACCCGGCAGTGTATTGGCAATGGTTGCTGCAGGTCGTGTGGTGACTCCGCTAGAGAAGGTCATGCTCCATGGGCTGCCCGTGCACCGCATGATGTTCCCAAGCGATGTCTCGTCAGCTGATATTGAACGTGCCGGTGGCAACACAATGCACGTGCACATTGTCGGCGCAGCGATCTTGATGTTGCTGTCGCTGGTGGACTGGGGCTTGCCCAATGTGACCACTGCTTGTGACTTTGATTTCCAACGTCCACGGTCGAAAGGCCAAGGTCCACGGTCCAGGGTCCTTTCTACAAAGTCCATTGCCCATGGTGGGCGGTCAAAGAAGCATCAGAGCCTGACAAGTCGATGCTCCAAGGTCATTCAGAAGTGCAAAGGGCAAGGGTCAAGGGTTAAGAAACCCATGCAGACAGGCAAGTGCGCAATGCTTCAACTGGCCAGCCGCTGGGCCCTGCCAAAATGCCAAGAGCCCGTAATTCAGTCGCGCAAGGCCAAAATTCGATCCCAGAAGACTTGTGCATTGTTTGGCACTCGTTGGGGGTGATGTGTGTACAGTGCATGGCTGGAGTTGTTAGTTCTTCAAGTTTTGCACATTCTTTTAGTTGAAGGGCGCACGTGCAAGATGTGTGCCTGACATCGAATTTCACCGAATTTCAACCAAGAGCGTGTGGAGCAAGACCATCGAGTTGCTGTTGCTTGTGTCCTTGCCACCTTGGACCCACACCTTGGCTCATGTGAGTGCTTTGTTTTCAACACAGTGGACACACATTTGCCAAGGCGTTTCGCGGCGTGCATCTCTGGCAACATCCTCACACCTGTATTGCCCAGTCCTTGGTCCACGGACGTCTTGCAGTTTCCTCATGCAAAACATCGTTGCTGCGCTTATTTCATGTACTGCTACACCTCTGTGAACTTGTTGCTGGTGGCCCAAAATCCAAGGTCCAAGGTACATGAACTTGTCATGCCGCCCCACCAGCGTACAGCGATTGAGCATGCTTTGGCCCGCCGCTTTTGCCTGCCACAAACAGGCAGGAAGAGACCTGTGCCAGCTGCCACCGATTCTGGGCCATTGGTCAAGAGGCGCCGAGAACGAGGTGCTCAAGGTGCTGAAGGACGGCCACAGGTCACTGAAGCACCAGATTGTGGCCTTGAGGTGGATGACTCAAGGGTTGGTTTGGCATGTGAAACCACAGAGGAGCATTTGAAACGTCACCAGGGCAAGCAGTGGCAGAAACGCTGTGCTCGATGCAAGTGCCCTGTTAACCTTTCAATCTGCTGTTTTTACCTTTGAGGGTATTTTGTCTTGGTGCCACGGTTCTGAAGGGTAGTTTGGGAACCCTGGAAGGTCTCCAAGCCTGACTCCACCACTCAGGTTTTTGCATATGCGGAAGAAGTGGGAAAGCATATCATCACTCCGCCACAGGTCTTGGGGAAAGCCTGTCCAAACAATTTGGCTGCAGGAGAAACCAGCTAGGCGAGGTGGCTTGTGGGGCGTTGGCTGCCAGTTCTGTGCCCACCTAGTTCACAAACTTTCCACTGAGCCAGAGCTGCGGAAGACGCTGTTCCTTCCTGAGTTAGAAAGTTGTGCATACTTTTATTTTGCCTAAAGTCGCGATGTGCGCAGTCGTAAGGCTGGGAAGCCGCTTCTCTACAAAATGGGGATCATACGCTGTCCGTTCACTGTGCCTTGCTAACGCACCGCACAGTAGCATCTTTTGTCCACTTTTGCAGGCCAGGACCAGTGACTCATGACCACGTGTGATTTAGAACACACCAAGACTTCTTGGATGTGGTGCTTCTTGGTCACACTGCTGCCATCTGAGGAAGGCAATGCAAGCATGCTGCTTGCAACAGCACAGTGGGTGGACGGTCCACAGGGTAGCAGCGGAGAGCTTCCTGGCCCCTGATCGGCCTTTGTCCCAGTGCCTTCCCTACAGTCTGGGCGACCAGTCCTTGTGGGCAGGAAACGTTCCACAACCAGAGGATTGGTTGAGGGCATGGCGAGCCTGCAAGACACCATCTTCCTTCAAGGCAGCTCTAGCCTTCTTCTCGACTGAAGATTACAGCAGGGGTGGAGGGGCACGGACAAAGTGGACAGGAGCCTCGTCTTATTCAGCCTGCAAGATTGTATTTGTTGGATGTAAAGGGTACAGTGCCACCCTACATCATCACCTCTCTTAGGCCTCAAGAACATGATTTGTGTCCTGCACTGGGCAGTGAAAGATTTGCGCATCAAGAAACTCATGCAGTCCAAGAACATCAGCATTTCCGTTGATGACAGGAAGGAGTACAGAGTAGTGCGCTATAAGTGCAGCGTGCCTGTTGCAGAGGTGAAGGACCCGGAAGACGCATCACAAGAAGGGTCCAAGGTCCAAGGTATGCCTTCTTTAGAGGAGTGGGTAGCACAGGGTCCATTGTCGTCAGAAGGAGTCCTTGGCATCTTCAAGGTGGGTGTGGATGCTTCTGCAGAAAGCCACGACATGGACAAGTCGGAGTCTATGGCGCAGAGCATTTGGGAGATTTTGAGGCGAATGTGTCAAGACCCTGAAGGGCATTGCAACTCAGAAGCCCTCGACCATGTGGCCCAAAGCATCCGGCATTTCTCATCCGACCAAGGGCCAAACGTTGCGAAGGTGGGTAAGCTCCTGGCTTCCAGCGGTAAGTTCCCAAACCTCGTCTACCTGAGTTTTGATGCCGCCCACCAAATACGAATCGCTTCCAAAGACCCATTGAATGCTTTGCCGGCTTTCCATCAACAGTTCCACCGCCTCTTTTCTGGGCCCGACGCTCTCCTCCCTGCGATTCAGCACAGCAAAGCTTGGCAATCCAAACTACTCACTTGCCAAAAGATGGTTCTGGAAGCTCATGGAACACAGGGAGGCTTGGACAGGGCCTTGCAGTCCTTGAGCTACGCTCCTCACAGATTCGATTCTGCAGCCACCCCGCTCTTCAAGTTCTGCAGCCTCATCAGGGCCATGGCGTTTCTTTGCGGTATGCAGGCTGCCGATGTACCTTGGCCCTTTCCCTGCATGACCCGAGAAGGTGTATGCGTTCAGGCGCTTATATTGCTTTTTTTCAAACGGTTCTCCATGTTGTCCTTGTCATTGCGCGTCTAAGGCACGGAACCAACAGAAGGTTCGGCATCTGGCTGAGGAGGCTTTGCAGCATATGGTGGCACCAGAGCTTATGCGTGCAGCTGTCACTGCTGATTACACAGCGGAGTGCCTGGGCTTTCTCCGATCTGGCTTCGACATTTCAGACCCAGACCCTGCCACTGTGGTCGACCTCCTGCGTGCCTTTGACACCCGCATGAGATCGCTGTTTGTTGACGGCTTGATTTTGTCCAAAGCGCTGCCCCCACAGAGCGATGATGGATTTTGCCAGAAAACTGCATCCCAAATGGTTTTCGATGAGGTGGACAATCCTGAGCCGTGCCTTTGCCATTGCATTTGAGATGGGAAATTTTGCTGCTGATTGTAGAGCGCTGAATTAAACATAGGTAAGAGTGTTGTCGGGGTTGCAGGGTTGCAGGATGTTCCTGAAAGCCAGGATTTACTATGGCAACCGCGTGCACTATTTGAGCACCAAAGCCACAGCCCCCGAGATCAGAAAGATCATGGACTCCATGTGCCTCGTTGTTCAGACAATGCTGAAGAGACTTCAGGCTGATCTGGCAGAGGATGAAATTGCAATTGCCTTGCAGGCATTCAATGTGGAGAGCTGGCAGCAACGCAACCGGCATCAGATGTTGAAGCAATATTTCCAGAGGCTCTGCAAAGCCCTCCGCGTAGGTGATAGAAGCACTGCGTCCAGTCTTGCAGCAGTAGCCCAAACCTTGGCCAGGGTGTTTGAAGCTGCCAAGAAGCAGGCTTTGGAGGTCACAAACAGGATTGGTTGGAGCTGGGCATTGGATTCCAGGTGGCGCAACAAGTACCTACCAAGACTGGCTTGGACACCTGAGTGTCAGCAGCTGGTGGAGTTCTATCTCTCACTCAAGTTGAACACAACGACCCTAGAGCGTGATCTCAGCGAACTTTTGGCACAGCTGTCGGCGCATTCTGGGCCTCTCTCTTCTTGTGGATCGACCATTTCGCCAATTCTGGAAGTAAGCCTAGAAGGGCCACAGAGAGAAGAAGATCTGTTCCTTCGAAGTGAGGCTCCAGGAGGGCCACTGGTTCCAACTGACTTCGCGCGCTTGTGTGCCAAGCTCTGGCTCCAACACTTTGGGCGTCGCTTTCGGTTTGTGTACCGGAAAGAGCCAGCCACAGCAGATGGTAGAAAAGGTCCACGGTCCAAGGTCCATGGCCAACAGCATGATCCAAGGTCATTGGTGGGCAGACTTCAGGGGAGGACCCAAGCAGCAAGCAATGCTGCTGCGAGATCAGGGCCGCACGAAAGCTTTGTTCCTGGCTTGCGCTTGCCTTTAAGCCAGCCTGCTCCGCCCCTCCCTGGAACTCGTTGGGCTTCTGCTATGGACAGCAGCGCAAAGGCCTCTCTGGAAAACTTCGTGAAGAACACTGATCGGAAAAAGCAGCGTACCTGTGTCGGCATTGATTTCCCGCATTGTAACTTTTTAATTCCTCCCACTCAAGCGTCTTTTGGGGCAGGTAGTTTACCATGTTTTGCATGGACCAGCCTTTGCTCTTCAAAAAGGTCACGCAGAGGCTGCAAATCTTCGGGCGCAGGGCAAGCAGCCTTATGTGCCAACGCATCCTGTTTTGGGTGGCCTTCGAGTCAGCAAGCAACCTTTTCTGACCAAGCTTGCCGTCATGGTTGGCATGCACAGGCCTGTGAAGATCTTGCCCATCTACCAGCGCTATAGCGCACTTCCTCCCTTGGATGCTGCGCCTGGCTTCGTGGTCCAGGATCTCCGTTCCTTCTCTGAAGCAGACATTGTTGTGGTTGAAGAGCTCGCAGACATTGACACAGGGCGCAGTGAATACCTGGCAGTGGCTTTGTTGTGGTCTTTTGGCTTGGGCAAAGTTGTGGCTTGCAGGAAGGATGTTGAAACTTTCATGCATTCACCTTCTGTGCAAAACGAAGCAGCAATGCTACATTTCGCACCAGCTGTCCATGCGAAAGCAATTGGTGTGCAGGTGAGAGACCCGTTGGCTCAGTGCCTTGGCCATTGGTTGCGCGCAACCCCCCCAAAGGAATAGGGCTTGAGCAGGGGGACAATCCCACATTGCAGTTGATTGCCCAACGCAGAGGGACAGCCAAGGTTTGGGAACGTTGCAGGGTTGCCAGGGATGACGTCATGGCATGCCAGGGATGACATCATGTCACTCCAACCCGGTCCCCTTTTTGCATAGGTTTTGGTCTTTGACCGCGTTGTCAGGCCAGTGGTTAGTTGCTACGCGCTTGCTTGTTGCGCGCAGAATTCGAGAAAGTATTTTTTATTTTAAAATGGGCGAACAAGCCAGCCCCAATAGAACAAGCTTTGCCTGTGCTGGTGGCTGAGGAGCCGATCGTTCTGCGCGGGGTTGAAAGCTTGTCAAAAGAAGAAAGGCAGCAGGTGGAAGGTGGCTATGGGCGAGCTTCCACGGCAAGTGAATTGCAAGCGGAGGCGTGTTTTCACCTTGACCCAGTGGCCTGACGCTTGGAAGTTTTTGCGTTCTGTGCGTGTTTTGGCACAAGCCAAGACCTTGGGCACCAATTCTTTTGGGGTGAAGCCATTGCCCGGCACAGCTTCTGAAAGATAGCGTGTGACTGGCTTTGGGAAATGTGGGTGTTTTGAGCATTGTGCTCTGTGGCTGACGCCTAGGCAGATACACGCCTTGTTTGTGCCAGCCCACGGCCAATGTATGGGGAAAACTTGCTTGCCGGGACAGATTCCCAGTTGCCGTTCAAGTTGGGAACCTGACAAACTCTTGTTTGCCTGCCAGTTCGTGCAAACAGAGAGCGAATTGGCAGGTATCAGTTCACTCTTAATATAGTTTTTGTTGATATTCAATACACCTTTGGTTCGTGCAAACCATACTCGTAGAGCATGTAAAGGTGAGCTGCCTACATCCAAGGGTTATAGCTCCCTTTGGCTGTTGCGTTTGTGCTTCCAAGGGTGTTCTGTAAGCAAGCAAGGGTATACCATCACCTTCCATTCATGCACCCAAGGGTCAATGTAAACATCCAAGGGTCCGGTAACATAACATGGAAGGTGTAGGGCAGAAGCATCACACGCTCACATTTTACATTCAGCAACGGCCATGATCTCTCGTTGCCCAGGCCCCAAAATGCCTCGACGGGGTCCTCAGGCAGCAAGCGCAGCTTTAGCTTTGCAGTGCTCAGGCTGCAATGAACTGATTGTGACCTCCTTCAATCAATGACAAACAGCGAAGTTGACACTTGCCATTTGTTTTGCAATTGGTTGATTGAACACTGTGTTGAGGGGCCTCCTTGCCGAGAAGAACAGCAAGGTCTTTTGGAAGAAGGCTAGCCGCGCAGCTGCTGCAGTGTCTTTCAGGCAGTTAGCGCCAGCGCCATGTAAAGTGGATTCTAATAGCCATTGTTGTGGACTGCTTCTGCTTCACAATGCAGTGTGTCCAACAAGGCTGCGAAGCAATGCTTGCAAGGGCATGGCTTGTTTGAGTTGGCGGACTTCGTGTTTCGGGAGTTCAACTTAGAAAGAGAGCAGCTAGCCACCGTTCCTGGCCAGCGCCTTGATCTACCTGCGTCGGGCTGTCTCAGCTAGTTTCCTTTCATGTTACCTTTCGAACCACAACGACCACATGAACAAGAGCAACAACTACGACAGCGTAACTATGACAGTAACAACAGCAGCAGTAGCAGCAACGACCATCATGGCAACAATTGCTTTTTGTGCAAAGTTGCGTTCCAACTCCACGAACATTTGTCCATTTTGACAAGAAGAATTCTGCAGCCCAGGCCCAGTTACACCACATGTGCATCCCCTTTGCAAGCGGGTGGATAATATGGTTTTCAACCTCAGGGAAAAATAGGGCCAACTACACCGCAGTTGGCCCTAATTTTTTGGCCCCTAATTTGTTAGGTCAACTTGTTTTCCCGACGTATCCCAACTATAGGGCTTCCAAAAGCAGACTTCGTTGCCGTGCTATGATGGTTTTTGTGCCTTTACCTTTGGTTATTCACTCAGGCCTGGGTAGCTGCTTGGCTGCTGTATCGAGCTCGATGTGTTCCTGGCAAGGCAGACTGGGTCGGCCTTCCAGGGCGCCACACCGGAGCCTTTGTGTTTTCAGTTTACAGCCATTGAAAGCTTGAGCTTTTCTCAAACATGTGAAAGGGCACGGTTCTGGCACAGATTCTTGCATGCTGCAGGTCAAAGTTGGGAAGAGAAGTCCTCTGGTTCTGCGGCTTCTGCGATGCCGCAATGTCTTCCTGACTTTGGGGCGTGGACCCTTCCTGGCCCTCCATGCTTTCAGGGGCAGCTTTGCGCACGCTGCAACAAGGAAGCCTCGTGCCTGGTCTTTGGATGGCGTTTACTAATCCCTCCGTGCCCATCCATGCTTGGAATATGGGGTTGCAGTGTTTTGCTAGCCGAATTTTGTTGAAGTTTCACTTGCAATTGCAAAGCCTGAAGTCGCCTCGAAGCCATGTTGAGACTCCGAGAAACTTTCACCGGCATCCAATTTCAGAGAGGGCCGCATTTGTCAGGTGATGACAGAACGACGAAAGCTTTGACCTCACTGCTGCGGTGCCCCATCATTCAATCTTTGCCGATTTGGGAGCAGTTCGGCTACGTCGCAGCTAGCTGCTACGTCCGTGACGTCAGGCCTCCTGGAGCTGCACAGTGTCACACGGTGCTGTCACCAGTCTTGGCTTGCTGCCCCCAAATCTTGGATCGTGTTTGCGTGGGGCAGTTGCCAGCCCAGTTGTTTTTGCGTGTGGTCTCCATGGCTCTCAAGGGAGAGCAGATTTGTAGAAGAGCTGTTGTGGATGTTTGAGGGGGGGCAGGGCGAGAGTGCCACCCATGTGACACGCCAAACATTAAGCTAGCGTAGAACATGCCTGGGAACTCTAAGTCATCACTCATTCAGTGGGTGCCAAGTCCTTTGTGCAAAGCCTGGCCCGACTTGCCAGGCTCTCGCAGTATTTCTTGCGAGAGGCAAAGGCAGGTCTTAGCAAGGGCCTGGCAGAGAGTGTCGTTGGATTCTACAAGGCCACCAAAGGGGTGGGTACTCGGCGCACCTTCCTCCCGCCGAAAGTCTGCAATGTGAGGCAGGTCCGAGGTCCACGGTCGAAGGCCCAAGGCAAGCTCAAGGTGCCTTGGGCCTTTGATTATTCACCTCAAAGATGATAACGTCTTCAATAGTTTGTAGATGCAGGTGTCGCAGTGCAGCTTTGCTGTGCCCAGGTGAAGAAGACCATCAAGAACAACTACGACATCAACGCCTTGAGCTTGGCCAAGATGTTGTCCTTCGTGGGCCAATTTGTGGATGGCCGTGTCCACCGAATGATGGTGGTGGATGCTGGTGGGAACTGGGCTGTAGATGGTGAACAGCGCCTTAGTTTTTCAATTGGAAGTGGAGCTTGCCATGCAAGTGTTTGCATCAACACCTGTTTTGTCCCATGCCTGGTTGAAAATATGGCATCTAACTTCACAGGGCTGCTGTGCTCTCCACAGCACTTAGCATCAAGAGGCCACCAACCAACCAGACGACTAGGCCTTGCAGCTAGGAAGCCATGCTCAGACACAGGGGCCCAAAATAGGAGTGAAGATAGGAGTAGACAGTTATAAACAGGCCTGGTATATTGTCATGGTGCATGGAGGTAGAGCATGTTGGGGCAAAGCCGCTTACTGACACCAGGGGTGTACCACTCTGATGCTACTTCAACAAATTTGTATTTGTATTTTGCCCGTTCATGTAGGGTGGGCAAAGGAGAAGTACCAATGCAAAGCAGTTGAGAGTGTCCTCTGCTCTTTGCTGATCTTTCTAGCACGCAGTACCTTTTTCAGCTTCGCCCAAGTTCCAGTCACTTCACCTATATTGCTCACTTCATTCCTTGGCCCCTGGTAATGCGATTGAGGATTGCCAGCTTGGACATGCAGGCCAAGAAGCTGATGCCAGTCCATCTGCGACAGCATTTGGTGGCTTTGGATCGGATCGCTACAGGCCATGATGTTGAGGCTCAGATTTGGACGCTTCAACATCAGTGCATATCAGCGTGTTTACAACATCCCCCCCAAATAGGGCCAACTACAGGCTAGTTGCCCCTATTTGTTTTGGCAGCGTAAATTTGGGCACCCCAGTCCCAGGAACCATGTCCAAGTGGCTGTCTTGAACACCCAGACCTTCATGCACTGGTGTCCTTGTAGTGGATCGACAAGTGAACTTCTCAAAACATTCATCACAAGAGTTACTTGATCGCTTCCACACCAGGCTCGTTAGCCCACCTTGCCACTACACAGCTGCCTGCGGTGTTTTGTTTCATGTTGTTTCCAATGATTGCGTTTTGCTTCCCCCAAGCCAACTGAGTTATCCAGGGACCAAGTCCCAGGCAAAGACGGTTACTGATCCCACAAGTGCACGAAGTGCACTTGTTCTGGGTTTCCACTGGTGCTACTTCAGCATCCCTGTTGGTATTCGGCCTTGTCCATGCGTGCGTGCGCGCGGTGGGCTGTGGCCAAGGAACGGTACGAATGCAAAGCAGTTCGGTGCCTGGAGCGGAGTGTCTGCAGAGAAGGCTGCTGCACTTGTGCGCGGCCACTTGGAAGCTGCAGTGCAGCGGTTTCCACAAGTGAGCCGATTGCTGAAGGATGTCGATCAGCCGACTGTCATCATCGCAAGCTGCAAAGCAATGCAGGCCCTGCGGAGCTTCGGCTTGCAACAATAATTGAGCTGTGCTTGGACAGGGGTAGCTTCAAAGTAAGAGTGATCATGGATTGATTGCGTGGTCTTGCATACAGTCTTACTTTGATGGCTTGTGCTTGGGAACTCACCGATTCGCCAAGGAATTTCTGCTACAGTGATTCCCGAAGCTTCTTGTCTTCCATATAGCCTGTTTCAATGACTGAAGCTCGTTGGAACTCATTTACTACTATAGTGCGCGGCTCAATCGCGAAAGGTAACTGGATTGGAGACGTCGCCCCGGTGATGCGAGAAGATGTAGCAGGAGCAATCAGGGACGGCAGGCAGGAAGCTCATGGCCATGAATCATGAGAGTGTCTTGCAATCCGGTTTGAGAAGGGCCTGTGTGTTTGCTATGTGCTTTTGAAACCCTGTTGCAAGCATGTGCCTTGCTGTAGGCGTGCAGCGTAAGCTCCATGGGCTGCTTTGCATCCACACAAGGCATGCCGGGTGTTGAGGAGTTTCGGAAGAGTCTTGTTTCAAAGTTGCGATGATCGCGCCGCACTGCAGCGGAGTCTTGAGGAATCGAATCGAACTGTGCAGGTCCAAGGTCCAAGGTCCAAGGTTGCAGGTCCAAGGTCCAAGGCATGCTTGATCGCAAGTTGCAGGTCCAAGGTCCAAGGTTCGTGCGGCAAAGATCTTTTGATTGTCTTCCTGCCATTGCCATGGCCAACTCATCACAGTCTGAGCCAGACTGCTGGACCACTGTGGGCTGGGCTGCGTGCAGCCGAGCCTGCTTTGAGAAGGCAAAACAGGCAGTGATGTACAATGGACCACGGAGACTGGGCTTGACGCACTTCTCCTCCTCGCCTATGGGGGCTGTCTGGGAGTTCCGCAAGACTGCCGTGAGGAGCCTTGGGGGCACGTTGTCCAGCAGCGTGCTGCCACGCAAGAAGGCTTTGAGGAGCAGTTCCACGGCTGAGAAGATGGAGGTTGCCCTCAACGATCCAAATTTTGTGATCTTCCAGCTTGTCACCAAGGATAACATTCCAGCTTTGCTAGGCCGCAAGGTTCTATCGTACCAGCCCGATGGGTCCTATGTTTTTGCGGCTGGGCAGTGTCCTTTTCTCCCAGATGCTGCCTTCACTGACTACTTCAAGCTGAAAGTCAGGCATCTTGCTTCCACGTTCAGTCATCAAACATGGTTTACAACTCTTTGCTCTGCGATCTGTGTTTTTGCGCTCTTTTTGGGAACGTTGCAGGGATACTCTGCATAAGGGAATCACTTCACACCCCGATTCACTTCCGGTTGAATATGTTGAATCTTGAGTTCAGGTGCTGCATTTTGTTCTGAGCAGGTGTTCTTTGTTCATGAGTCCAACTTAAAAAGAGATTGTGCTGGGCCACCGCAATGCTGACAGGCACTGCACAATCCAGCCTTCTATTTGTGGCGAATGGGCAGCCAAGCAGGAGGTGAAGGTCCAAGGTCCAAGGTCCAAGCTGTTCAAGTATTACATTGCGATCGATGACCTTCTCAATGAGAACAGCTTGGAAGAGGCTGATGTGGCCCCATTGCTGTGGCTGTTGGGGCAGAATGCGACCTCGACAGATCACCCTTTCAGCCCAGAAGGAGAGATTGTCTATCCACTGTGCAGCAGCTCACAGCAGGCCATGGCTCTGGGCTTTTTTGCGTACAAACGCACAAACCTCAAGCTGGTGGAGATCGCGTACCCTGGATTGATCGGCAGCAAGGCACCCATCGCGCACCCTATGGGTGCGTCTTGGCTGCTTGGGTTGGACATGTTGTCTGAGTTGCGGGAGGCAAAGAAGGTGGAGCTGAGGTTTGCGCCCTATGAAGTGTGCAAGAATGATGTGACCAAAGGCTTCTTGACATCGGCTGACTTGTACCAGGACTGTCAGAGGGTCAGCTTGAGGAAGCGCAAGCTTGCTTTGGTTGCTGAGGTGGCTGAGATGAAGAGTCAATTGCAAGAAAAGGAGAGCGAGCTGGACCAGATTCAGGCATCTTTGAAGGACAGCTCAGTGTCTTAGGACACCGTGCAGCCAGGGCTTGTCTTTGCACTTTTTTGATGCTTGGTCATGGTCCATGGTCTATGACTCACGGTCCATGTCCAGGCTAGATTTTTGAGATGTAACAAGTCTTCGGACGAGTGAAAAGATGTTTGCAGTGAGTGCTTTCGCAGTGTGAGCGTGCTGCACTTGGTGATCGTAGCACTGTGTCCAGTCCTCCTCCAGCAACGCGTGTACCTGATTGATCTGCGGTGTCCTATGTTTTGCGTGTCAAGTGTGAGGTTTAAGGACCACGGTTCAGGGGGATCGCCCTATCGGATCCCATTCAGCCATGCTTCCAGCGCCGGCCATTCCAGATCACGGCCACGCCTGTCCCCAAGGAATGATTAAAGTTCGCATTTGCATTCATTTGCAACACAGCTTTCCCCACATGGCTGCTCGTTGTTCACAACTTGTTGCCAAGGCCGGGGCTTTGGATGTGATGCGGATTCTGATTCCGTGGGCACCTTGCCTTAACTGATCTCAACATTCAGTGGGTCGTTGCTTGATACTGCAGAGAGAAGAGAACAGGGTTGCAGGGATGATGCCTTCTTGCACTGAAGGTTCGCAAAGAGCTGCCGAAAGCTTTCCCTCCTGCCAAGCAGATGCACAAGTGCGCGCCTTTAAGCATAGCGGCCGATGTGAAGATGGCTGACAGCGTGGGCTTCAAGGAGCTGGCTTGTAGCTTTGCAAACGATTTTTTCTAGACGCATCATCCCTGTTTGCTTGGGTGGGGTTGGCGCATGTAGCGCCGGTTGGCCCATAGACAGCAAAGCCTTAAGCAGGCAGACCTCTTCATATTTGAATCTCTCTATGTTCCAGGCTGGTGTGTGGTCTGCCGAAGATTGCCAAACCTCTCTGGGCATTTCAGGCATCTACGAGGCTACGGGAAATGCTTTGTGGCTTCAGACAGGAGCCTTTGCAGCCAGCCCACGGGATAACATCAACTGGGCATCTCTGGAAGCCTTTACTGAGAAGTTTTTTTCCAAGCGTGTGGCCTTCAAGTCCACAGTGACTAGATCTCTTTCTGCTTCAAAGAAGCAGAAGGGCGAAAAAAAGCGGTTGATTTGGCCATCTGTGATGATTTCGATCGTGGACAACATGAAGGCTGCTTTGGTGGAATCTCCGGACGCGGGCATCCCATTGATTCCAACAGGCCAGTTCGTGCTGTGGTCATGGTTCTTGGCCTTGCACAACGCGATCAAAGCTGCTGTTCCATGGCTGATTCAGTTCTTTTTTGATTTCCTGGCGGTCTGTGCGTTGGGTTTTGCATGCTCCATAGCTATAGGGTGTGCGCTGCATGCTTCTCAGGACAAAGAGCATTTGGACCTCCTTTGGGAGGCTGGCCTGACAGTCACATTGCAAGTTCGCTTTTGCGCAGGAGATAAGGAAAAGTGCTTAGCCAGGAATTTGCAATCAGAAGCGATCAAAGCACTTGGCCATGCATCCTTGTCAGACAGCTTTGTCACGTTTGCTGTCGCTGTCAAGACTATGGGCATTGACAAGGTTCAAGCCGGTGTGGACTTGTGTCTTGCGTACAATGGAACTGTCTACAATGCTGCCATCCACAAAGCGTCGCTGTTGCTGGCCAGTGTCCTTGAGGATTCCAGCAGAGCGGTTGAGAGTGCTCTTTTCGCATTGGAGTTGCAGTACGGCCGAGACATCCTCAGCAGTGAATACTCCAAGCTCAGCAAACTTATTGCTCACAGCAAGTCCATGGCATGTTCATGGTCCAGAGTCCACGGTCCAACTTCACCCTATGAGTTCGTGGCATGGCTGTTGCGCATGCTAGTGCTAGCTTTCCAGACGAAGCTTCGGCCTCCAGCAAAAGCAACAGAACAATGGCTCGACAAGGATCGGAAGACAGGCCTCCCTGGTTTCTGGCAAGCTGCGGCCGTGGTTCTCCAGGCACTGTGCTTTTGAGTGTTGCAAAAGGTTGATTTAATCTGTAGCCCCCGGGCGGACTAAAAAATAGATCCATAATTCCACCGGCCCTTGCCCCGCCAAGGTATTTGAATATGCTGACAAGCTCTTGGCACGGCTTCCTGAGGCTGACGCTGACAAGGCTGCAAAGGTGTTGGACGAGTTGCTGGATCCATGCAGCTGCTGGGACAAGTTCTTGAGGCCAGGGGACAAATCATCTTTGCCGGACTGCTTTCACGAGGATGATGTGGAGGATGAGGAGGGCGTCGTCATTGTTCCTGCTGGCCCCATGGCCTCTGTCAAGGAAAGCTTCAACAAAGCAACAGGGATGCTTTTTGACCTTCTCTTGGAGCTAGTTTCGGGCAAGCGCCTTGCTGATTGTCAGCACATAGCGGCCCAACCTGCAGGTCTGGTGAAAGCTTTGGCCGAGGTCCAAGGCGAGCATGCAGATGATGCTGTGGAGCTTCTGAAGCAGCTGCACCTGATCACAACTTTGTTTGAAGGCCATGCGACCAAGTCTGTCTCTGCAAGCACCGCAGTGCCTGCGCCCACCTTGCTAAGCCAACTGACTGCCACTGGAGGATCCACCGCTGAAGCAGACCTTGAACGGGAGCGAGCATGGAAGACTGTCCAATCAGAGCGCCGCAAGCTGGCCAGCTTCAGTGTCCCACGAGCTATGACAAAGGATGCATTCCTGGCCTCTTTTCGTGGATGCGGAAAAGTCTTTGCCCATGGCGGGGTCCTCAACACGAGCCACAGGCTGTTCGTAGCTTCCGCAGACCTTCTGGTGGAACAGGGCGAGGAGCCATGGGCCATGGCATCAGTCCCACCGCAAGCGCTTTGGAAGGAGATGGTGGGATTTATGGCAGCTACTGCAAGTGGTCCTGCTGATTTCATCATGGCCTTCGATGGACGGATGCGCGAGGTGCGTCGGTGGAGCGTTCCTTGATGTTAAGCTGAGAGACTTTTGATAACTCCTTTCGATGACCCTCTGCTTTCCTATACAGGTCCTATATATAGTCCATGGCCCATGCCCAAAAGTCCATGTTTGATTCGCTCAAGGAGGATGAGTTGCTCACGCAACCACACACCAGCGAGCTCACAGTGGT